CCCGGGGGTGTGCCCCCTCCCCCCCCCCGCTCCCCCTGCCTGCCCGCGGCGGCCCGCGGCTCTGGCAGGGATCTCCCGGGCAGCCTGGGCTCGGGCAATTAATCTCTCTCCCCAGGTTTTGCCTAAACAGAGCTGAGCCTCAGCAGCAGCCTCCAGACGTCCCTTCTCCTCCATGCCAGCACGGTCCAACTCGGTGCTTGGAGAGCTCCTGGGACATGCGGGATGCCGGGAGGGGATCTGCGGCTGGAGCAGGACCGGGCCGCAGAGCCTCACGAGCTCCCAGAGCAGGGAACCGGCCCCTCAGCTCTTGTTCCTCTTCTCCGGCTCCATGTTCCCCTCCCCACAGGCAGCTGCACGCAGCCGGGTTTGCTGCGGTTTTGCCCCAGCCCTAGCAAGGAGCTGGAACAGGAATAGAAAAGTAGCACATGAAACCCTGTCCCCATGGAGGGACCCTCCTGCTGGCCCCCACCAGGCATCCGGCTGCCCTGGGTTTGTCAGAGCCCTGTGACCGGGAGGGAGAAGCGGCTATGGTTCAGGCGTGCTGTGCCTGGCGCGGCGCCTTGCCCATTTCACCCACTCTCCCGCAGCCGGCGGGGGCAGCCTCTCCCCGGCCATGGGAAGAGCTGAGTAGCCGGACCAGGGACTTGCAGCTGGGGCCGAAGAGCATTGTCCGGCTGAGCAGGGCCCTGGAAAAGGCAGCGACCAGGCTCCTGTGACTACAAGGCCAGCTCCAGCCCCAGGTGCTCCTGTGGGAGGAGGGGGTCATGGGCAAGTGCAGCCCCCAGGAGATGGGGCTCCATCCCGTGTTCAGCCAAGGCTGAAGTAGCTGAGAACTGGAGGAGTTTGGCTGGCAAAGGACACGCGCTCGAGGCTTTGCAGAATGAGCGTTATTGGTCTCCTTGCTCCCTCCCAGGTGCCTGCTATGATGCCTGGACCGGGCTGCTGCCAGCTGCAACGGCCCACCTGGTTGAAGGCATTCCAAGGCCATGGATGCTGAGGCCAGTCATGCTGGCGTGGAGAGCCAGAAGCCAGGGTGAAGCTGCAGGACGCCAAGGGACGACATCCCTCCCAGCTCCTCTCTGCCCCATTCCTCAAGCTGCTCATGGTGTCTCATGTGTGGGGCTGGTGGAGGGCTGATGTCCTCACCAGGCACAGGGGTTTCCCCCAAACACAAAAAGGAATTGAGCACGGAGCAGGCCGTGGAGCTTTTGGAGCAGCCTGGCGAGTGCTTCCTCCAGCCAGCCATCAGCTTCGGAGAGGTCCCTTCCCTTCTGCCAGCCCCTGCCTTCCTCCCCTCTGCCTGTGCTGGCTACTGCAATCAACAGACCCTACTTTGGGCTTGCTTCATTAATCCACTTCTTGGGAGCTGCCAGCACGGACGGGTGCTTCTTCTGGCTGGGGAAGAGCCGAGCTCTGTGCTAACCGCAGGGGATACACCTGCAGGGCTGAGTGCAGCATCCCTCATGGGCCCCTCTCCCGCTTCCCGAGCCTGGCACCCCGGCTGCTGCACCACCCCTCTCCCGGGACCCAGCCCCAGCTGCCAGGGCTTTCTCCGAGCATGCTGTGTCCTGCAGGATTACTCCAAAAGCCAGCTCAGGATGCAGCAGTGCCTCCTGCCAGGCTCCTCTGGCAGGGCTGCCCCACCCTGGGACCCACCGCAGAAGGTCTTGTCCACCCTTAACCCACCCAAAAAGGAAAAGGATCCCAAAGGTGAATCCTGATGCCGATGGCAGCAGCCTCCCTCAGGGCACGGGGAGGCTGTGCTGCCTGCAGCCACCCAGCCCAAGCAGGCAGCCCAGTGACCTGGGGAAGGAGGGGTGTGCAGCCCAGTCCCTTGGGACCCCTCACCCTTACCAGGTGGGCGGTGGTGGACGTACACTCAGTGCTCTCCTGGGAGGCATTGCCAGGGCTGGGGCAGAGGTTGGGGCTGGGTACGCGACGTCCGTAGAAAGCGCCGAGGATACTGATGGTGGTCTTGCGAGGGCAGACGATGAGGAGCTGCTCCCCGTCACAGGTGTGGGCGGTGTGGTTCCTCAGCACCTTGCGCAGGTACCCTGGAAGGGGAGAACATGGGCGGCATTGGCTGGAGGAGACACCAGGACCACGGCAGTGGCGGTGCTTGGGCTCCTGACGGTGGCAGTGAGGACGTCCTGGGCTGGGGCATTTATGGGGCAAACAGGACCAGAGTGGGGCTGTGGCAGAGAAGGTGGGTTTGCAGCAAATCTTATATCCAGCATTGCAGCCAAGAGGCTGGAAAGCAGCATGGAGTAGCTGAGCTGGTTAGCAAAGGGAAGCAAAAGCTGGAGGCAGAATGACAGGTCAGAAAAAATGGATGGAAGAATCCCATGAGGAGTACTCAAGGGTTTAGAGAAAGTCAGGCTTGTTATGGAGACATGGGGAGGATAGAGCAAGGATGAGCCAGAGATGATCACCCAGAGATGATCACTGGAGTCAGGGAGAGGATGATGCTTTCTGCCACATGATGCCGAGCCATGAGCTGGAGGAGAGAAGGGTCCAGCGGCTGCTGCGAGCTCCCACAGTTGGCTGCATCGGTATGGATGGGCGTGAGCCACCAAGTCATCATCTGAGCCCAGCTGACCCTGGGTCTCTGCTGGAGAAGCCCAGCGCATCAGTGCAAGCCATTCCCAGCCCACAGCCTTTCCGACATGCACTGGCCCTTCTCTCCCTCAGTTTCCGGCACGGGGTATATCTCTCTTTTAATCCTCCCTAGTTTGTGTCCCAGACCGCTTACCCTGTTGTTTTCCCTGCAAGGAACAGTAAGGTGGGGCTGTCCTGCTCAGCCTTTAAGAGGGTTTAACACCCTGCCCGGTATCAGCTGTGCTGGGTGAGTGAGGAAGCTGTTTTAGTAAAAGCTCTGCAAGCTGCCAGAGGTGCTCTGAGCAGGCACTGGTTGCTGGAGGAGGCTGAGGAAGCAGGAAAAGCTGACAAAAAATGATGTGTATGGCCCTGGACAGAGCAGTTTGCATCAGGCCTTTGAACAAAACAAAAGCAAAGGGGAAGCATCATTTTGAGGCTGGGAGGAGGCGACAGGGCAACCTGGTACCTGCCAGGCAGGACCCTGGGCTGCTGGGTGGGTCAGACCCCAACTGCCAGCTGTGGGGTCCTTGGAGGGACTCACACCCCAGCCCCAGCCCGGTGCTGGGGTCCAGGGCAGGACATGCACCCTGTCCCCCAGCCCACAGCGTGTCGAACTCCCCCAAGCCAATGTAAGAAGGTGGGAGCGCTGGCTCCAGCCCCACGCTTCTCCCTCTGTCCCTCTGTAAACGGGTACCAGGCTCAGCTGCACAAAGGGCCCCTTTCACCTTCCCTGCTGCTGCTAACCCTTTGGCATCTGTGGCCAGCATCCCTCTGTGGGAGACATCAGTGGACACAGCTGGGAGCTGACCCCGCTCAGAGTTAATCTTTCCCCTGGACACGGGCAGCTACTGGCATTTCTCCTTGCAAGCCTGGGATGAGCAAGTGGGAGGGCCACCAGCCTTGTGCAAGTGAGCCCTTGCTCGCTCCTCTGCGTGCTGGAGGAGAGAGGAAAGGAGAGGTGGAGGAGGGTGGATGGGAACAGACAAGCTGTTTTAGCCGGGTCAAAGCTCCAGTGAGATGCTCCTTGGAGGACACAGAGTTAGATCAGCCCCTTGGGGTGCAGTGCCCACGAAGAGGGGGGCAGGACAAGCCCCATCCTGCCCCTCTCCACCGGTTGCCCCATATCACCAGACACTGGGGGCCACGAGGGGCAGGGGACCCTGCCTGGGCTGCCGGTCCCCATCTCCTTCCTCTGCATCCCCTGCAGCAGCTCCACGCCTACAGCAGCAGCCAGGCTCTCGCGGAGGCTGCAGAGGGGGAGAAACAAGTTTCCCCAAATCCAGCCTGCCTTGCAGCAGGCACCCTCCTCTGCTGCCGTGCCTGCTGGCAGTACCCGTGGTTTGTATTTTAAAACCAAGGCTCAAACAGTGCCACTGGGACAGAGGTTTCTCCATCACACCATTTTGGGGCAGTGAGCAATCGTGAAGATGGGTTTTTTGGGGGGGGTGAAACCATGGCAAGGAGGCTGCAGGCAGATTTTGCGAGTGATTCTGGTCGCCTGCGGTGCTGCTGACTCAGTCCGTGATGGTGCGGTCGTGCAGTTAGCTTTGCCCAGATGAAATCACATCCTCTCTGCCGCAGCCCGCCCTGCTGCGCTCGGTGGCATCGTGCCGGGCTCTCGCAACCGCCTGGGCCCAGCAGAGCGGAGTGGAAGGTGTGCGTGGCTGTTTCTGGAAGATCCCTCAGAGGAACGGCAGCCCCCGGGCACCCAGCCTGCCTGCACCCATCCTGACTGTCCCAAGCACTGGGACACAAGGGATCCCAAATTTCTGCCTCAGCTACATCTATAAGGCTCACCGACGTTGCCCCCGGGGAGAGGATCTGGCCCTTGCTGTGCCTTGTGGCAGTGCACCCTGCAGCCCCCCTATTCATGGGTGGCTCTGGCTAGGGACTGCAGCCACCGGCTCCGGCCAGGGACTGGGTAGAGCTTCAGCCCATCTCTTCCCTCGCCTCCTCAGAGCAGCAAAGGCTTGCTGGGGAGCCCTGGGTGCTCCAGGAGCCTTCAGCTCCACACACTGCCCAGCACCGAGGGCATGAGCATCATGGCTAGGGGGGGTCTCAGGAAAGCTTGGGGACTGTCTTAAGATTTGTTTTTTTTGCATTTCTGCCTCAAAACCGTCCGAGGGAGCGCAGCAGCAGTGGGGGGAGCTGCTCCCTCACTTACACCAGGGCTGCAGGATGTGCACGGGGTGTTTTTAGATCCCAGCCCTGCTGTGGGGATAAAAAAAAACAGTTTTTTTTGCAAACTCCCTCTGGCCTGCACTGGTTTGTGCCTCACTTGTCCCTGCTCCACGAACCCGGCTGACGCTTCACCCTCCCCTCACACCAGCCCGGTCCCCGCCATCCCTCATCGCCCTGCCTGCGCCCCGACTCACCGGAGAGCTCTGGGCTGGCCTCCAGCCCCACAGCCAGGCAGAGGAGGACCAGGGCTGCTGCTGGCCCCACCAGCCCGGCCATGGCACAACCGCTGCCGGCTCTGTTGCGTCCCACCAGGCAGCCTCCGCCGGTCCGGTCCTCGGCAGCGGCTGGTGCCGGGGCTGGCAGTGTGCAGGGACAATGGCTCGCTTCTCTGCCCTGCCAAAGCGCCAGGGCCGGGCGGGCGCCTGTGTACCCGCTCTTTGTCTGCTGCCCAGGGCAAGGGGCTGCTCTGGACAGCTGGGACACTCTCAGCGCAGGGACACCTCCCACGGGGAGGGAGGGACATGTTTTCAAAGGCGCTCCATGGCGGGTGAGCGGGTGCTGTGTCTTGGCATCACCATCGCTGGCGGAGAAACCGGCAGCCCCTTCCCTCCCGCCTCTGTTCCCCTCTGAGCAGAGGGATGGGGCTTGGCGAGGTTTCCAACGTGCCCCCTGCTTTCTCACGGACACGGTGAGGCAGAAATCCGGCTACATGTGTGCCGTAATCTCCATCTCGGCAAATGTCCGGTCATTCACCGTTTGAGAAGGAAGGGAAGGGCTGCCTGTGCTGCCTCCCAAGGCAGCTGTTCCTGCAGAAAAGGCAAACACCCTCCCTGCATCAAACACCGCAGGCAGGGACCTCTTTTCTGCTGCCCTTCTGCCCCCACAGCCTCCACAGGGCCAGATATTGGGCGCTCTGACATCTGGCGAGGAGGGCACCGTGCCATCTCCATGCCCCCCGTCCCGCAGAAGTTAAATCCCTGCCTCCTGCTTCAGCTGGCAGCTTGGAGGGAAACACAACGGGCAGGAGCTGCTCGCCCTGCCCCTGGGCTGAGGTCAGCAGAGAAGGCAGCGGCCGGCAGTGCCAGGAGCCGGCGCAGCTCCCCGCAGGCTCAGCATCACTCGGGGAGGGGCAGCAAGGGGGGGGCCGGGGTGGCAGCAGGGACCGGCACACATCACCCAGGGGTCCGCAGCGGGAGCTGGGTCGGGGAAGCGAGATGGGCGCCGAGCTTGTGCTGAGGGTGCTGCCGTGGCCCTGCTTGGCACTCGCAATGCCATTAATTCATCCCTCTCGCTTATGAGAACGTCAGACAGCGTTTCCTGTCCCATTGGGTGAAGTTTCAAGTTCTCCAAAAGCTCTGATAGGGCAGAAAGAAAAATGCCCCCCCCCAGCCCCTGCTGTGCAGCTGCCAGTGCAAGCACCACTCTGGGCTGTGCAGCAGTACCCCGGAGAAACATCTCCCTTGGGGAGACTCCTTCAGGAGCCTGTGAAATCATTTCCCAGCCTAATTGCCTTGGGGTGGAGGCTTTCTTATCTGGGTTTGATTATTTTTAGGAAAGTCTGAGCTTAGCTGAGCTGGGAGGGTGCTAAGTCAAGCAATCAGGATCCCCATTTTGTGCAAAGCTCAGTACCAGCTACAGCGTCCCAAGGTGCGAGACGGGACTCACCCAAGAGAGGAGTTAAGCCTGTGGGTGCTGGGAAACTGCCTCCGCTGGGACAGCAGCCAGGACGATCTGATGGATCCCTCCCATCCTGGGGAGGAAAGCAATCTGGTCATCCTTCCTGAGAAACAGCCCGAATTCCAGGAACGGGGCCCTGCAGGGGGTCAGCCCTGGAGACATCCCTTCCCATCACCCCGCCACGCACTGCCCCAGCTGGGCTGCTGCCAGTGGTGCTCTGGGGTTCCTCGCTGTACCCCGACGTGCTCCAGCCTCTTAGCTTTCCTCCTTGGCTGTTTTGCCATGGCTCTTGCTCAAGGTCTGTGCCCTGGCAGCGCTTGGCCAGCTGCAAAGAGCTGGTGGCAGGCAGCCAGGTTGCCCCGCTCAGCTTCCCTGAACCCTTGCCCCACTCAGCCCCCACTCCTTGCAGCGGGGGGTGCTCAGAGGACCCCACCTGGGGGGGAACCCCGGGGGTGGTGGGCAGGAGAGGAGCGGTACCCTCCCTCCTGGCAGCTGCCCGTCGTGATGCAGCAGCAGGAGGGGGGGAGGCAGTGGGAAGCTCAGCTTGGTTCACCTCAAAGAGATAAAGTGGCGAGCCCTGGGGCACCAGTGTCCGGGCGCGAGGGTGGGAGGCTGGTGAAGGGGCAAGACCAGACCGGAGCAGCACGAGGAGTGGCAGGCGAGATGCGTCCTCTGCGAAACCCCCCCGCTCCCAGCTGGGAGGTGACGGCAGCGGTGCTGGGGCCGCCTGGGCCGCCAGCCCACTGCTCGGAGGCACCGGAGCAACGCCTGGGAGGGTGTGATAGACTGGAAGGGGACCCGTGAACACATCCAGATAGACCCGTGCTGAGTCACGACTGGGAGGTCCCGGCGCACACCGCATCGCTCCTCCCCGCTTCAAGAGGAAGGAAAGGGCAAGCCCCAGCCCTCCACAGGGCGCGAGCGCAGTCGAGGTGCTCGAGCCGCCAGCCCTCCGAAAGCCTCCCCTGTCGGCACTCTGCAAAGGACGAACCAACTCACCACAGCAGTGAGCGGCCAGCAGTCCCTCCCCACGCTGCTGGGATGGAGAGTCGGCAGCACAACGCCACCAAGGAGCCTGAGATCGAGCTGTTTGTGAAGGTGGGTCTTGAGGGGGACGGTTGGTCTTTGGCAGTTCCCTGCAGGCTCATCCTCACCAGGCTCCAGCTGGGCGTAGGGTGGAAATCCGTGGGTGTCTTCGCGTTTCAGGAGGCTGGAGATGGGTACCAAGTTTGGGATCGCTCGCCATGAAGACTGGCTAGGCGGGTGCCCAGAGGAGGGGACCAGGCACACGGTGGTGCGGGGACCGGTGGGGCGTCACGCCCAGCATCCTGGCAGATGCCCTGGTCTCGCAGCGGTCGCATACTCCGGGGGAACGGCGCTGCTGGCAGCTGGTGTAGCGAAGGAGTGGGCACACATGGGCCTCTCAAAACCCAGATAAGACAATCCCCAGCCTGGGAACAGCAAGCGTGAGGGCTGAGAGCAGCCACTTCAGCTTCTCCTGCAAGCCAGGGTTGCGAAACAGAGCGTGGATGGCTTGGGCAGCCAGCGCGGGTGCCCATGTGTGGGCGGGATGGGGCGGCTTCGCAGAGCAGCCTGGGGGGGATTATTCGCTGGAAATGTTTTTTTTTTTCCCGTTAAGCAATTTTCCAAGCACTTCCCCTGGAACATTTTAACACTCGAGTTCAAAATATCTGCAACGGACATGTGGGGTGTAGAAAGAGAGGAGCCAAAGCTGGCGACTGGTAACTGGGTGTATGAGCAGCAGTGCCAGCAGTGCCCTGGGACACACCGTCAAGTGACAGCGGCCGGGGGAAGCAATGCCTCCCTGTGCCACCACATCGAGGTTTTTAAGGGCGGTTTCCCTGCTGCCACTCAGCCCCGCGGGTTTCGCTCCGCTCCTCCTAGGGCAGCTCGGTGCCCGAAAGGACCGCGGTGCCTGGCTGGAGGCACTGGCTTCCGTGGCGCAGGCACCCGGCAGTGCTGTGTCGTAGCTGGAAATATGTGTTGGAAAGGATTATCTGAGCCTTTGCAGGAGGGATCTCTCCAATCTCCTTGCCAAAACTGTGGCCATGGCAGTGCTTGCCAGGCACTGAGCTCGGCCGAGCCGAATCCAGACAAGTGTATTCTCTTGGTGAAAGAAATTTGGGTCTTGAATTCCCTTCTTAGCACCACTTTTTCCTCAGGATGGCTGGGGAGAAGAGGGAAACGATACATGAGGTGACTGCAATGGCGGCAGCACCTTCAAGGGGGTTTTCAGAGGGAACGGAAACCGAAAACAAAGCAGCAGCGTCGTCAGGACTTCCCCGATGCCTTAATTTAGCGCAAAAAAACCCTTCTGCCTTGTCTGTTAACAGACAAATTGATGCTGTGCCTCCTTCTCCTACCATTCAGGCCCCAGTTTTACCAAAGTCATAGCAGCTCCCGGCTGCAGACAGGCACCCTCCCGTGCCATCAGCATCTCGCACCTCTCCTGGGCTGGGGTCTGCCCGAGACACAGCTGCTGGTGTAACCCGCGACAGCCGTAAATCACAGGGGCGCCGGTGCTCCCACAAGCGCCTATCGGCACGCTGCTCCTGCCCACCTTTCGCTTTGGCACACGCTGAAGTTAACTTGGTGAGGACAGGGTGGGTGCGAAGCAGCTCCTGCATTGCCTTTGGGTTGGGGTGGGCAGTCCCCAAAGGGCTGACTATTTCTCACCCTGCCGTGGT